ACAAAGCTCACCTACTCTTAACCTAATCTCAAGGTCTTTAGTAGCCAAATTATTATAAGTATTCATGTGTTTCACTGTAGAAATATCAACATATCATATACAGCACATGCCGCTTACTGTGTTTCTAAAATCTGAAACATGCTGTATTCCACAATTCATACGGATAAGGAACTGGGACCTGTCCTCCAGGGGAGGGACAGCTTGGGCCAGGGCGGCAGCATAGGAGATGGCAAGAAGTGGTCACAATTTCAATATAATTTAAAGGCAAGGCTAACAGGATTTTTTTTACAGATTGGATGTGGGTATAAGATGACTCCAAGTTCTTTGGCTACCACAACTGTAGGATGAAGGTGCTGTATCCCGGGGTGTGAAAGACCATGGGTAGAATGTGTTTGTGGTGAAGCTGAGGCACAATTCAACAAGTTGTCTGAACATCTAGTTTCATCCATCTGGAGATAATGTACATAGGCAGGTGATGTACAAGTCAAGAATCTGGGGAGAAATATGGGCTAGAGATGTATTCTTGTTATAATTTTTTCTTTCTAATTTCCTTTTAGAATATCTTCACAGCTTTTTCTCAGGGGAACAATAACACATACATACTATAAAGAAAAGCACTGTTTAACAACCTCTTCCATCAAAATAATATATCTTTCAAAGTAAAGAAAAACATAATTATTGAAGTTTGGGGCTATCTGGAGACTTATAAACAGTGTCTATAATTAATATCACCTGAAAATTCATGAAATGAGGAAAGCCACATTTTATTCTCAGAACTGTGAGGCAAATAAAAGTGTCTTAAGAACTTATTATGCCAGAAATGAAGAAAATACTGAACGAAAAAATGGTGTTGAACTAAAATAGTGATAGGGTTTCTTTCTGGTTTCACAAAGAATTAACATCAGTTATTTGTCCTATAATTAAAAACTTAGAACTCTTGCCTTATTCGGAATATATCCTCCAATTACAAGATAGCAAATTAGGAAGTGTCCAAAATATCCCCGTTCATGCTCACATTAACCAGCAGCTAGAGCTAAAGGGGCAATGAGGGGGGATGTAAGTTTCAGCAGGAGTGTCCAAAAGCTGCAAGGCCACCCACGGCACGCAACGGCTTTGGCATCGGATCAAGGTAATTCTTTCCCAGGGCCTGTCTTTAGGATCACACTCTTTTAGAATGAGTGCCCTAACATCATTGCACTCCATGTTTCCCTAATTTTATCCTGCTACATTCTATTGGTGAACTTCAGTGTTATTTTTAATTCATATGTGTGTCAGTATGGAGAAGAATAATGGAAAGAGAGACCTTTAAAATAAGAAAACATTAAGACTCAGAAAAATATTTATATCTATGTCAGGATGCCTTTTTCTATTAAATAGCCAAGCTCTTATGACTCTACCTTAAGCAGCAGAACAATATAAATACTATACTTAAGCACCCATAAATAAAAATTCCATTGTATGTTCACAAAGCAATGAAGAAAAAATAGAGGAGGAATAAAACAAGATGGGGGGAGAGAAAGAGAGAGAAGAAGAAGGGGGAGGAGGAGGACGGGGAGGAGGAAGAGGGGGAGGGGGAGAGGAGGGGAAGAGAAGAAGGGGAGAGAGAAAAAGAGGGGAGAGAGAAGAAAAGGTGGGAGGATAAAAATTACAAAAAATATGCTTTTCAAAATAAGAGATATGCACATATAAAATATATTATTAGATCTATCATCTTAATCACTCCAAAAATTATATTTACTGCCCAAAACATACATAATTACAACTGTATCAGAATTAGAGAATTTTAATTTCCTTATAAATGGACAATGACATAGAAGAAAAAATTTAATTGAGTCACATATAAGCAAAAACAGCCTTTTCTCTTTAAAAAAAATCACAAATGTCAATATTCTTTTCACCTGGTAAAAAACTGCAAAGGAGTTCAATCTCAAAGGAACGAAGTTTAGTTCCATCGTTGGGGAATGGAAAAAGAAAAAGAAGAAACCAGTAACATCAAAGGGAAAAGAGGAGAGAGGAGTGAATGCAAAAGTAGCTAGGAATAAACAAAGTGAAACACAACAAATGGAATAATGCAGAGAACAGATAAAATTATAAAACTGCAAATTTGGGCCTGGTAATAAAGGGACGATCTCTTCCTCCTTCAAAGCTTGCTTCGTTACCTATAGCCTTTATCTCCATTGGTGGCACCGTCCTTTACCTAGTCACCTGTTAAAAATCTTTAAACGAGCTCCACTCCAGATCTAACCACCAGTTTTCAGAAAGCACAAAGGATTACTGTGCAGTTTTTCTCATTGATTCCTAATTCAACGCTCCAGTTTACTGGTAATTTATTGCATATGCTATGCTCCATCCTACCTTTGTGCCTTTGTTGTACTGTCCCTGTTAACTATAATGCCTCCCTGCATTTCCTCATCCTCTTTGCCCCATGTCACTTAGGAAGTTCCCCAACCCAACTAGTCCTTGCCCAAAGGCTGATTAGGTCCCCTTCTGTCTACTCCCAGAATGTCCTACACAAATCTCTTTCACTAACAAAGTACCACAGTTATCTATTGGGTGACTGCCTTTTCCACCAGACTGGAAAGTCTGGAACCTTTTCTGTTTTATCTTTGTAAGCCCAAAGCGTAATACAGGGCCTGGCCTTCTAAAACTCACTAGAAAATGTATACTGTTAAATCAATGGACAGTTAAAGTTAAATGGCACATGATACAATAAGTTCCCCATCTCTGAGAATTTTCATGTAAATCTGAATATGTTAGAAGAACTCTCATGCTAGAGAGGAGATGTGATCTACTATATGACTGTGATATTCCCCCTCATTTCTGCACACATTCTTATTTGCCCAACTCTTTGACTTCTGCTCAGCTCTCTATAATATTTAACAGTGGGGGTATTTGACTTATACTTTATACAGCATGGCCTGTGGCTAAAATGTCATCATAAAGAGCTTATTAAAAATGTGCTAGCACAAAAGACTCCAAATAGCCAAAGCAACCCTGAGAAAGAAGAACAAAATGTTAGTCATCACAATTCCTGATTTCAAGCTATACTATGAAGCTATAGTAGTCTAAACTGTATGGTATTGTCATAAAAACAGACACAAGAGACCAATGGAACATAACTGAGAGTCCAGAAATAAACTCAGGCATATATGGTCAACTAGTTTGGCAAGGGAGTAAAAAATACGCAATGGAATAAAGTGGAAAATTCGATAATCATGAACTAGACCCCTATCTTATACCACTCACAAAAATTACCTTGAAATAGTTTAAACACTGTAACATAAGACCTGAACACTCCCAGAAGAGAACAGAGGTGAAGAGCTCCGTGACATGGGTCTTAGTAATGATATTTTGTAGATAACATATAAAGTACAGCAACAAAATAAAAAATAAACAAATGAACTACATCAAACTAAAAAACTTCTGTACAACAATAACAAAAAGAAAAATCAACAAGCCCTGTGTGGTGTGGCTAAATGGATTGGATGTCACCCCACAAACTGAAAGGTAACAGGTTCGATTCCCAGTCAGGGCACATGCCTGGGTTGTGGGCCAAGTCCCCTCTTGGGGGCTTGCAAGAGTCAACCAATTGATGTTTTTCTCACACATTGACGTCTCTCTCCCCTTTCCTTCTCCTTCCTTTCCCCTCTCTCTAAAAATAAATAAAATCATTAAAAATAAAAAGACAACATATTAAATGGGAAAAATATCTGCAAACAATATGTCTGATAAGGGGTTAATATCTAAAATATACAGAGAACTCATACAACTCACTAAAAAAATAATAACCCAACTAAAAAATGGGCAAAGAACCTGAACAGACATTTGTCTGAAGAAGATATATGAATGACCAATAGGTACATGAAAAGATGCTCAACATCACTAATTATTAGGGGAATGAATATCAAACCCACAGTGAGATATCATCTCATACTTAGCATCAAAAAGACAAGAATTAACAGAGGTGAAGAGAAAAAGAAAGAACCTTCATGTACTGTTGGTAGGATTACAAATTGGTAGAGCCACTATAGAAAATAGTATGGAGGTTCCTCAAAAGATTAAAAATAGAGCTACCATATGATCCAAGAATCCTATTTCTAAAAATATATCCAAAGGAAATGAAGACACTATGACATAGAGATATCTCCATTCCATATTCATAGAAGCATTATTTCTAATAGCCAAGACATGGAAACATACTAAATGAAGAAAATTCTAAATGAAGGAGTGGTGTTGAACTAAAACAGTGATAAGGTTTCTTTCGGTTTTCACAGTGAATTAACACCAGTTATATGTCCTATAATTAAAAACTTAGAATTCTTGCCTTATTCAGAATATATCCTACAATCACAAGATAGCAAATTAGGAAGTGTCCAAAATATCCCCATTCATGCTCCATTGATGGATAAATGGGTAAAGGAAATGTGGTACATATATAGATATAGTATATACAAGAAATATTATTCAGTCATAAAAAGAAGGAAATTCTGCCATTTGCAACAATACTGATGAACCTTAGGGGCATTATGTTAAGTGAAATAAGTCAGAAGTGAAAAACAAATACTTTATGATCTTATTTACATGTGGAATCTAACAAATAAAACATAGAAAAAGAGATCATATTTGTGGTTAACAGAACAAGGAGCTGGGGAAGGAGGAATTGATGAAGGTGGTCAAAAGGTACTAACTAACTTCCACTTAGAAATAAGTCCTAGGGATGAAGTGCACAACATGACTATAGTTAACATTGATACATGGTACGTAGGAAAATGAAGAGGGTAAATCCTAAGAGTTCTCATCACCAGGAAAATATTTTTCTCTTTCATTTACACTTATATGAGATGATAGATGTTAACTAAAGTTATCATGGTAACCATATCACAATATATGTAAGTCAAATCATTATGCTGTACACCTTAAACTTATACAGTGCCATATATCAATTATATCAATAAAATTGACAAAAACTCAAAAAATGTGCCTTTTTTTATATGACTTACTGAATACATCTCCTCTGGGTTTCTGAGGATCTGTCTGTATCCTGTTGTCAACTGTAACCTCTCTGGGAGATGTGGTAGCCACTGGTGCTGCAGTTGTTGTCAGTCTGATGACTGGTCTTTCTGGGGTGGGCGGTGGTGGAGGTGTTCTGAGTTCTGTGGGCGGGGGTGGGGGTGGAGGTGGAGTAGGCCATGCTGTTGGCTTTGGTGTAGGCCTTGTTGTTGGCTTAAAAGTGGGCCTGTTGGTAATGACAGGAGGAACATATGGTGTCTTCAGAGTCCACCGAGTACTTCCGACATCAGGAATCCAATTACTGTGGCCTCCATCACCCTTTGAAATGGTACCGTTTCCCTTTGGTACATGAATTGGACCTGAAGGTTCAATCATGACTTTTGGAATATCTAAAAGAGTCCAAAAGATTTGAATTAGTGTTTAACTATCTCTTCCCCAAAAAGTAAAACATCACATTGCAAAAAACAAACATATTTAAATATGTGTCAACTAGGCTTACTTTTCACATTTAGGATATTTCCCAGCTATAGGTCATGCTGTTTTCTAAATTAACAAATATGTGCATATTTCATATACGATACATGTTCAACCAACTGGTGGGTGAAGGCAAAAATTATATTTGTGTTTCTATAACAAATATGTATCATTTGAAACAAAAAAGTTGTGTTTGTAAAGTGGAAACAAATGGCAATCAGTAGTTTTTTAAATGCAGAGATATTCTAAACTTTTTTAAAATACGAGAAATTTTTATAGAGTCTATATTAAGTATCTCTATGGTACATCTATATTATAAAATCAAGTTTAAAATTGTTTAAAGACTAATTTCTCTTCCACACTTTATAAATATTTTGCTCATGCAAAATCATTTTTAGTCAATGTTCTACATATTGTTTTAGTTGGTTTTTCTTTCCTCCTATTAATTTAATTTTATGTAATATCTTTTTTTAAAAGAAATTTTAAGAGGTCACCAAGATCATCTGTGGACTATTTTCCCTTGATAATTTTCACCAAGAGAAATTAATATTTAATCTACTTGGAACGATATAGTGCCAGGGGAGCATGAATACATAACCCTTCAAAAATCCTTAATCCACATGATTTTATGCCTCATGATTTTCAGTAAATATTTTACCCCCAAAATTTAAAAAATTCTTATTATATGAAATATAGTCTAAATTAAGACTTTGGTTTGTGAAACTTTCTTCTTGGAGGGTATTTTTTTCATGTTTATCTACAAATACATTCATACTACAAACAGAGCTCATAAAAACTTAAAAAGCGAAACAGTAGTAAATATAGAGAAAACAGATAAATATGGGAATTTTTTAGAATTAGGAGGAGTAATAAAACAGAGGAACCAAAAAATATGGAATATAATCAGATTATCCCACCATCATAATCTGATGCTAATGCTAAACAAAAGTTTATTTCTAATTTTAAGAAAATCAAATTCTCTGGGAGGGCTCTAAAATTTTTTGCTAGCTAAAGGGAAGCTGCTGAGAAATTTTAGTCAAGGAACTGAATGCTTTTAAGAATGGACTGTATTACTGAGACTTTTATAAAGGACCCAGGGACAAAGCCAAAGTGGGGAAAGATTGCGGGTGGGAGGTGGGGGTGGGTGGGGCAGGGAAAAGTGGTGGCGGGAAAATGGAGACAAATGTATTGGAACAATAAAAAAAAAATTAGAAAAAAAAAAGAATGGAATGTATCACTGAGACTTTCATTTTTAACAATACCTGAACAAGTGATTTGATTGTTTATAGAAAGCAGAGACTAATATTACCGGTTATGAAATTGTACTTCTTTGGTAAGTTAATCCTCATCTTCCCTAGTAATGGCCTTTGTGCAATGTGTATTTCCTGCTGGAGTTGAGAGCTGGGAGACAAGCATTACTCACACACACAATTTAGTCCATCGCCATGGTATCCATCTTTACATTTACACTTGTAGGACCCATGCACGTTGAAACAGCGAGCAAAGCTGCTGCAATGATACTGACCAAGGGAGCACTCATCTATATCTGTATCAGGAGGTAGAAAAAGAAGAGGTTTATTTGGTAGATAAATACGATGACATAAAAATATACATATGGCTTCAAAAAAATTTTTTTGCAATGTGAATGCCCATGTAAAATTGGCAGATACACAGAAGAAATAAAGTACCTGTGCATCCAGAACTGCTAGTGGTTGAACTGGACTTCCGTTTGTTTAATGCCAATACCCTCTCCCACCCCACACCCCAGTCATCAGCACAATTAAGAGACCTTTCTATTACACAGGAAGAAAAAGCAAAAAGCAATGGCCGGGGTTTATTACCATGACATTGGTATTTGCCTCCAATGTACATGAGGTCGAAGCCTTTATGACACTTGCAGATATAACTCCCAAAAGTGTTGACACACTGCCTAAATCTGGGGCAGGAGGCTCTTCCAGTAGCACATTCATCAACATCTAGAAACATAAGTTACTTATGTTTAGGTAGAGCAATAACATGTTCTGATGGAGTATATTTTAAAATAAATAACTGCAAACAGTTCCCCAGTGGCACACAGTGACTCATCATAAATATTATCCAGCTGTTGCCCCCAAAGGCATCATAAATTCCACATCGCCATACTTCAATTCATCTTCCTAACTCAGGCTGCCTGCTCCTCCTCCTCCGTATCTCAGCACGCACTGTACCTGCACCCACCTAGCTGCTTGAACTAAAACATGAGTTATCCTTGACAGCCCTATTTTCCTTTACCCTAAATCATCAGGCCCAGTTAATTCTATCTCTGAATTATTCGAATGTGTCTCCTCTTCTCTTTATCCACTACCACGACCCTAGTCTAAGCCACCATCTCCCAGGCCTCCTAACCTGATTTTCTCCAGCCAGTCTTACCCACTCCGAAGCATTCTCACTCACCTGTCAAAATGATTTTATCCTAAAATAAAATTGGATTAGTGCCATGCCTAAAGCTCTTTTACTGCTTCTACCTGCTTTTTGAATTAAATCCTCATTCCTCACCCCGTCCACCAAGGCTCTGTAATAAGTAGCTCCCACCTACCTTACTGGTTGTATCTCAAGCCACTGCCGCCCACACTCCCACTCTGCCCTTAGCCACATTGGCCGTCTTTCTTTCAAGACCTCAAGCAGGTCTTGTTTACTGCAGTGCTTGCATCCTTTCCACCTGCTTGGCTGATTCTTCACATGGCCAATGGTTTGGGTCTTAGCTTAAGGCTTTCCTTGACCGTCATTTTCTAAATAGACTCTGTTTCTTTCTCTCTTAAGTCCTCACATTAACACTTATTTAGACATTAAACATTATCTAACATTAAATTAGAATTGTTTGTCGTTTTACTGGTTATTTGTTTCTTTTCTTTCTGCCCCATTAGAATATCAGCTTTGTGAGGGTCGAAAGCTTGTCAGCTTTGTCCACTAGTATGTATCCCGGCACTTGGCACAGTGCCTGGAATGTAGAAAGTAACCAATAAATGTCTCTTGAATCATCGAATGCCTCCATTCATTGAGTACTTACTACATGTTGGGTACCATGCTAAGCTTTTTCCATACCTGAGCTTATTTAATCCTCAGAATGGTTCTATGTGCCATTACTCCCATTTTAAAGATGAGGAGACTCAAGTTCAAAGACAGAAGTCTCTTACCTAGGTTACATATCAAGTATATGGCAGAGAAACCCTGACTGCTGTGGCTGAGTTGGTTAGGCATCATCCTGCAAACTGAAAGGTCACCGGTTCAATTCCTCGTCAGGGCACATGCCTGGGCTGCGGGGCCAATCCTAGTCCCCAGCTGGGGTGCATGTGAGGGGCAACCAATAGGTGTTTCTCTCTCACATCAATGTTTCTCTCCTTCTCTTTCTCCCTCCCTCCCTCTCTCTCTAAAAATAAATAAATAAAATCTTTAAAAGATAAAGGTACATAGTAGAGGTAGCTTTGAAACCAGAGCCCTGGCTCTTAATGACAATCCTATACTACCTTCCTAATCTGCAGGGGAAAAGAATCTCTTGAGTGCAATACATACAATCTAGCCCTATCTGCCTGTTCAGCTTTATCAGTCATTACCCCTTACATTCCAGAAATAATAAGCTTGTTTCCATGAACACTGTGCTCCTTCAAACTTCAACGCCTTTGCACACATGGTTCTCTCTGCCTAAAGCTTCCTCCTGTCCTTCATGTTTAGAAAAAAATAAGGTTTCTATGATTCTTTCACAGAGAGAGGTCCTCTTCTGAGACATTTGATATCTTCTGAAGGACAACTAATCACCTCATGTAAGCAACTGCCTTTTTTTCTTACTCCCACCACCTTTCCCTTTCTTCCTTTTCCTAGAGAGACTGCTGACAGACGCTGGGTTTTGCAACTCACCCACACAGGTCCTCCCATCGGGAGCCAGCTGCAGCCCAGGAGACGGGCACTGGCACCGGATCTGGCCTTTGATAACGTCGCAGCCATACTGACAGTTGGCCATGGAGCACGTCAGGGCACCTGGAATGAGTGTGACTGGCTGATTCAGAGAACAAGTTTCATAACTGAAATAACTATGTCTTTAACTTGTCCTTAAATCAGTGACACTCAATCAACAATGAAGACAGAAAGGCCTCAATTATTCGATAGTCTAGAGAAAGTTAAAAAATAGGGAGAGGGACAGAAAGACTCTCCTCCTCTAGAGATTAAGAAGATTAAGAAGTGAACCAGTTCTGTTATCATCTGGGGAAGGCCTCTAACACATATGAGAAATTCAAAGACAAATGTAAAACTTGGTCTCACATAGATTATCTGGAAATTTTTCAGTGGCCAAGGAAAGTGGAAAATGGTGGTATTTTTCCAAACTGTACCTGCTAAGCGTTGGTCTTTAGCGAAACATCCACCTGATTGTCTCAATCTCACCTAACTTTCTAGAGGGACAGCAGATTTCCCACCACACTGCACAGTGTTAGAGGATTCCAGCATCACTGTCACGTGTTATTAAACATGAAACACCTCATTCCCAAATGCTCCATGCTAAGTATGCAATGCTAAATAAAGGTAGCGAACCTTTTTTATTTTATAAAATGCAACCCAGTTAGAGATAACTGATAATTAACTGATTGATCATTAGCTAATTTAACTGATAATTCTGTAAAATTAAAAATCAAGTCATCAATTGTGGGATATCCTGTAAACACAACCTCAATTCAATGTTCAGCTCTCAGAGAATCTTAGGGCATCATCCACCTTATAACACAACCAAATGATAGTAGGACACGCTGCACATTTCTTTCTTACAAAGACACAGATGGAATCTACTTTTGTTACTAAAATCATTTTTTAAATCCTTTTTTTTTCATTTGAAGTCGTTTTTTTAAAAAAGGACATAAATTAGTCCTTCGACTATTATAATGAAATGTAAAAATGAGGTGAGAAGGTATTTATGAGTGGTTTATAATTGATCCAACAAGCTGGATGGCTTCTCTACCAACAAACAGTTTAGAGTCCATCTTTATGGACAGCACGCTGTCCTGAAATAGCCACTAATGTTCTTGTCCTAGCTGCAATAGCTCTATGCCCACACTGATGAAAGGGAAAAAGATTAGAAAACACACTTAGTTTTGTTATCCTTCTTCTGAAATCATGTCCAAATCAATTTAACACAGACATCCATGTTAAAAGAATGCTAGCCATCTAAAAGGGGCAGCTCTTACTTTGATTTTCCATGCCTTAGGGACACATACACACACACTCTCACATCCATCCTGTTTGGGGGAGGGCCTGGCAGTGGGAGGCCACTTCCACTCTCACACTACCAGACCACAGCATGAAAGAAATCAAGCCCAAAGCACTTATAGAACAGTTAGGATTCTTGACATACTTGAGCAGGACCCGTCCGGCATAAGCATGTATCCGTTGAGACAGTAGCACTTGTAGCTGCCGTAAGTGTTCATGCACCTGTGCTTGCAGGGACGCGGCTTCAGGCCACACTCATTCAGATCTGAAAAGAGTGGAAGTTGAAGCCAAAAAATCATGAAACCTCTGCATAAATATAAACCATTTTAAATACTTCTCTATATTCAAAAATGAAGGAGAAAAGTAGGTCAAGCTACACTAGACAGTCATTTACATAAGAGAGAGCGAGAACCTGTTCACACTGTCTTAATTTTAATACTGGTTGTACTAGAAGTGACCAAGAGGCTTTTTTTATTCTTCTTCTTCTTTCAGAGGTGAGCAAAAGCCTTATAACAATGAAGATGCTGTATGATTTCTGGAGCTTAAATCATATAGTAAATGTGATCTCTGCCCACCAAGGATGGTTAGAGTACACTGTGCCTACTTCCTCATCCCTAGATAGAGCAGAATCCCGACTCCTCATGGTGCTGAACCATCTATTTAACTTCAATATCCTCAAAATATCTGGAGTCTACTACTGGAGTCACTCCTGACAATGTGGTCTTCCTCTATTAGTTTCTTCCAGTCTTTGTTTAAAGAAGATACTAGAAAGTATCTGGATTTTAACATTAGACTGCTTTGACCTTCCCAAAATAAAGATGTATTTTCAGAGGATAAGAGCTACTTGAATTAGAATGATCACAACTGTGGTTTTTCTTGTTCAGTGTTATAGATTATATACTGATCTAATACTAAAGTATAAAACAAAAAAAAGCCAAACCCTTCAGAATATTTTTATTCATTTGGTAGTTAAGAAGGGCATGTGAAAATACTAATGAATAATACATAGTGGACTATCATTATGTAGTTTAGGATTACTGATTTAAATATCAATATGAAATGAATAAATTGCACTTTATGAGAATTTTCCAACCCAAGGTGAACACTGCCTCAAGTGAACATGAAACTCATAACGATGTATAAACACTTCAATGGTAGTGCACAAAATAGATTTCATTAAAAAGAAATATGACCATATGTTTATTTGAAACTGCCAGCATCATTTAATTATCTATTAATCTATGTCTTGAAAGCAGAAATATGGATAAACCTAGTTGCACATTGTCTCTAAATCTAATCAAATATAAACATGACTTGCTGTTTATTAGAAATCTATATATTTCACTTAATTAAACTACCAAGTTACCTTGTTTTTTAAAACCTCCAAATTATTGCATCTAAAATTTTAAAAATATTTCACTGACTTTCCAACTTGGTATTTTTTTTCTAACTTTAACACATTTGCAAGCAGATCCCCAGTGAAGCCCTGGAAGATTAAATAATAAACATTTGTCATTTCCTATACTTTATTCAATTTTATACTTTATTGTGTTTTGCCCAGTCAAGGGTATGCAAAACAGAATCACACTTTAAGATAATTCAAAATAGTTTCCTCAAAGAATGTGCTTTGCAGAGTATATTCTCATCAAAATTTGATTTCTTCATCTGTTAAATGAAGTAAACATTTTAAAACAAGAAGGACAAAGTAATTCACTCCATTTCTCATATTCTTCTCTGTATTTCAATATTTATTAAAAATTAAAATGAGAGAATCTTTTCTCATTTTCTAGGAGTGGATTTTCATTCCTAACATTTCCCTACTGATTCACATCTGGCTTTGAGAAATCCCTGACTGATGTTATAGTATGTAGTATTTAAATCTGAGTACATTGTTAGAGAAAGGCTTTGTGTTTTAAATATTTCTCTGCACTAAGCAAAAATAAAATAGTACAATACAACAAAACAGAGTTAGACTGAATTCTATATCTCAAGGGAAGGATATTGATGGATATAAAACATGCCAATTAAGAACCCTTATGTTTGCCCTGGCTGGTGTGGCTCAGTGGTTGAGTGCTGGCCCGTGAAATGAAAGGTCACTGGTTCAGTTCCCAGTCAGAGCACATGCCGGGGTTGCAAGCCACGTCCCCAGCTGGGGGTGTGCAAGAAGCAACTGATGGATGTTTCTCTCACACATCCATGTTTCTCTCTCTCTCCTTCTCCCACCCCCTCTCAAAAAATAAATAAATAAAATCTTAAAAAAATAAAGAAGAATCCTTGGGTTTATTTTTAAAGAGCCACAGAAACTTCTATGGGTTTCCTGATGGGAACTGGCCAGATATTTGTAGCTCCAAGCAGTTTGCATACAAAGGTATTTACGCTGATGGAAATTTCTTCAGACATGATGCCTATGCACTACAGCTGAGGCCCCGCCGAGGCAGTCCCTGTCCTGGCCAGTAAAGGGCCCCTGAGGTTGCTCTGAGTCTCCGTGACTCAGACCGCGCTGCTGGGGGCCTCCAATCCCCATCTGTCTTTCCCTGACCGTGGGAAAAAGCACTTGGGAGTTAAGAATCATGACACTGAAAGAAAATAAAAAATTAATATGAAGTCCTAATTTCAAAAGAACCTGCAACTCACTCTCTGAAACAATACAACAAAAGAAATAAATGTGCCTAATTCAGTGGGTACATGGAGAGACATTCGTTGACTATTTTACGGTACTGAATTGACATGTAAATATCCAAATCTGTTGGAAGGAACCTGTGAAAGCTGCGCTCTACCAGCTGCTGATGGGGTGGGTGATTCTCCTTGACAGGCCACTGGGGTTGACAGCCCCCAAACTGCCATGACTGCCCCACCTGCCGCAGGCATGTGTCCCCTAAATCCTTCGACATATCCCTTACAGAACCCACGGCAGGAGTTATGAAATTAGGATTCCACAATCCATAACTATCAATATTTACTAAATATCAGACTTTTGCTCAAGCAGAAAGCTTCAAAAGATAAAAGTGCCTGATAGTCTGATGATGAACTTTTTCAATTTTTCATTAGATTTCTAGTCTACGATTATTATACCTTATTTTCCTATCAATCTAATGTCTTTTAAAATTGAGTTAATACAGGCTGCTTCCAAAATCTCTTGGACTACAGAACCAGTAACACTTGTGTTCCTATCAAATTAAGTCAGAAATTCAAAAATGACACTTTATAGTAAATGCTCCTCTAATAATAAGTGGAACAACATAAAAAACATGAAGTCTCCTTGATCACATTTTAGAAATCAATCTTAAAAGTTGATAAAAACAACCTAAGAAAACAAGCTTTAGTGTTTTTATTTTAAATTTACTTTAACCTTGCTCCTCCTCTACGAGTTTATAATGTAATATAAATTAAAAGGAAAATCTCTAACAAAAAAATTAATGAATTCTGTCATGTACCTATCTCGTCATACAAAGAACAGAACTTTACAATTAAACCACTTACATTCAAAAGTTTTAATTATTAAGTACACAATTCTTAAAGAGCATCTATTAAGCCAGGAGTATCCTTAAGCAGGCTGGTGAATTCAGGAGCTTGGGGGAAGGAGGAGGGAGAAAGGAGCTGGTTCAGAACAAAAACACAAGCTGCATAGCATTATACTGACACTTTAGGGAAAAAAAAGAATTAGAAATTTTATTAGCATGCAGACACTGAAAAGGAGCTTGAAAATTTGCAAGAGCTTCATTGAATAAGACTACCCAAGGGATTTTTTAAGGGAAAAAACCCTTTCATTTGTTTAATGCACTTGGACTTTTTTTCCTTTGAGGCGTACACTGGGCAATATCTCAGAAGTCTAAGCTTTTACATTTTACCTGACTAAAGTGAGGTCATAGGGAAACAGATGCCGATATGTCAACTGCCATCACTTTTAAGCTTTACAGACAGCAATGACACAATGACTGAAATTAATCCCATGGCCCTAATTCCTTGTGCAGAAGATATACAAATGTATCAAGGTCCCTTTCAGCAGAGAAAGGGTAATTTCTAATTTATAGGATTTTAATTCAGACATTCTATGTTCCTAAATCTGTCAGTGAGTGAGGGATAAAGTTTTTCCGAAGAACTGTAAAATCATGCTGCCCCCAACCTCCTTACAATACTTTCCAGCACAATGAAGACACTGATATTTTTGGTGTTTCTATTCTCACACCAGCCCTGCAGACAAATAGGGCATGGAGTACTCTCCCCTGATTACTAATCGTTTTGCTAACACCCAGACATTTTAAATGATATGCTCACTTGAAGGGCTGTACTAGAACCAGAACTTAGGCCTTTTGATATTAGAAGATGTAGCACTAAAGGAAGGAAGCTAACCTACGGTTTCATTTCTGGTAACCAGAACTCTACACCCTTTCTATGATGGTGAAGAGGATTAGCAAAAGCCATCAGCACTCCAATCTCAGTTGCTTTGTTATTCCTGACTTTACCTACGTATGAAAATAAAAGTTCGTTTGTTACTCTATTTTTAGAAAACACTTTGGAACCCAGAGAAGAAGAAAAGCAATGATGCTCGCTGCAGTGAAAGGACAGTGGAGGCTCCAGGCTTTTTAGAGCACAGAGAATCGGCATCAGGTGCCAGTTTCTGCTGCTTGCTTCACATGCTCAGGTGCTGCGGCCGGGCACTCCTGGGGCTGGTCTTCAGAACATTTGCGAGAAGTGACACAACTGCAGGAAGCTGTGCAGGTGGGAGGAGCAGACCTCCCGAGACAATGCACGCTCACCCCTTGAAGGTAAACTTGTGGCTTGATGATCCTGGGGTTGGAAAAGAGGCTGTTCACTGCCCTGGTCAGGAGGAGTTGGGTAGACGTGTTCGTCTTCACACCAGGAAGAAGGTAATAAGAGTCAACTTTGAACTGATGTCATTTTTTAGCCCTAAAAATCTTTATAAGTATATGTTAAACAATTACATAAAGCTGGTGCAATTCAAAAAGAATGCTTTAAAATATAGATACTTTACAAAAATTAGTTTTCAGTTCTTCCAGTTCCTCTGTTTTTTACATTTTTGTTTTCCTGAAAACTTATCATGGTCACCTTTCTTCCCAAGAACACACCCAAAATACAAGTCAATAACCCATTATTCTCATGTAAATTTTTTTTAAAAAAGCAAAAAAGAGATGGTCATTTTTTAAAAGCAGGATTTTAGTTATCAACAAAGAAAAGTTAAAAAAATTATATAAATATTGATTATGATCATCCTGCTCTGTTTCAGGACACTGAAGTCTCAATGACCAACTTAAGACTTTTTTTCTTATTTTGTGTACAATAGGTTAAAATACTCCAAAACTGCACACAAAGTTATGATTTGCATAAAGACCTTATTTAAACAAATAATATGGTCAATGTTTTCACTCAAATGTAAGAGCTTACATTATATTTAAGTCACATTTAATTAGAATATATAAGAAGCTTTCTGCCAAAAAAAAAAAAAAGAAAGAAAGAAAAAGGTAACTGTTCCCATGATTAGCTTACCAAAATATTGTAAGATGGGTAAGACTGAAAAGTAGAGAGACAAAAAGGCAATTATATCCTATTTCTAGACTATTATATTAGTAATAATTAAAATTCCAAATTAAATGAATATTGGTTTCTGGGGTTAAAATCAGTCTTCAAAAGGTAAGACTAAAAAACTACCTGCATATTAGGGGTAAAGCACTCAGGCTTCTGGGCTTAGAAAAGCAATCCACTCTCAGTTAACTCACCCATCAAAGTTTACTGTCTGATTATGTGCTACACAACATTAATTCTTTTCTTGGGATAAGGAATTCAACATATGAAACACAAACCATGTCAACACATTAGTAATTGATATTTGTAAAGTGTATCTTCTGAACTCCTTACAAAGCACACCATAAATTCAAAAGAATATCTTCCATTCCTGAAAAAAATGCAATGCTATGATATATTACATGCTAAAAATTATTCCCTAGTGGGAAAGTTTTAAGATTACTATCTATAATAGCATCATTTCTTGGCTGAGGGGAAGGGGACTTGTATGGGTCCAATGACTCAAGTAGGGAGAAAATACACAAGAATAAAATCACCAGAGAAATTAAGATGGGAAAAACCCCCCAAATCTTGCCAGAGTTTGGGTTACAATTTCACCTACTGTAAAAGGAGGTACCATGTACCTTACAGAATAGGCTAATGATCAGTCCATGCCAGATGACTCAGTGGGGAGAGCGAGCCACCCAGAGCAGATTACGCTAATCTTGTGACAGGCTGTTAAATTAAGCCAGTTCCAAAGTGGGCCTGCCCTGCTATTCTGGCTGCTCCCCAGGCAGCTCTGAAAGCACCCAAGTGCTTGTCATTTATTCAAGCTGTTCACTCAGCCAAGCAAGTTTCGAGGGGGTGATTTCTTAAAGTACACAATTCGCAACAATATTTTTTAGCAGTTACTTGCCTTAAACCCAAACCTACTTTTTGATCAAAAGCTAATATCCCGCTCTGCAAAATTATTTCAAGGTATCGCTTCTTAACATTTCTCTCCTCAAGAAACAAGAAACCTGTTTGTTTTCCCATGTCTCCAAGGCACGTTTTCCACTGTATTAAAATATATGGTCCAGATAAAATACCTAAGTTAATTTGTTATGTAGATACAGAGCAGACATAGACAATCTGCGCTACCATTTTCGGGGGGGGGGGGTTTCTCGACAGCCCTCTGACTCACCCAGCTCCTCCACGGCGGCCCCTCTCATCCTGCCAAATTCGCAGTCCGTGGACTCAGAGACTAAGCTACTAGAAAGCTCCATGGAATGTTTTCAAGCCCCTATGCCTTTCAGGACCAAGAACCATTATATGGAACATTCACTCATGAAATATTTAATGTGCAAGTTTGACAATAGTTTTCAGGAACTCCACAAAGGGTTCCTGCTCTCAAAGGACATAATTATTTCCATCAGGAACTTGACAAATGGCTTTTTTGGTCAGGAAGGCAACAAGAAAGATGCTTAAAACACATAGGTTTACTGTAAGCTGGAGTTTTATGTTCAAGTTGGATGTGAAATTCCATTTTCAGTGTGAGCACTATTTTTGCAGGTGTAAAAATCCCATTTTGCTCCTGAAGAAATTCTTTACCCCTAAGGAATATAGTTTTGGGAGGCCAGATTTCAACTCAGTATATTTCAATTTTTCTTTAGAGAAACATATATGTATTACTGGAAAAACTGGTTTTTCTGAAAATACATGCGTGGTAAACTGGTTTTTCTGAAAATAAGTACATGGTAAGCTGGTTTTCTGAAAATAAGAGATACCTAGAGATGAATCCTTGTTCCAGTAACAGCTTTAGTGTATCTGAAGTATATTAAAGTTGATGAAGTTCTGCAAATAAATTTAAATGCATTTTTCTGCAATTCAACAGTAGCTTCTTTTAATAATCTTCTTTGTATACATTCCTGGCATCAGGACAACAAGTTTTATGGTGCTGACATTTTAATGAAACCTCTGATGGTTTATGCTCATCACTTTAAAAAAGAAGCATGTGGGGGCTCTGAGATGAACACTAATAACTCAATAATCAGAACCAAACATGCTGCTACTTGAAAAGCTAAGGCAGGAGAAGGAAAATCAAACGGATTTTTAAAAGAGTAAACTAAGATAATAAAAACCCCATTTATTTTTAAAAAATACTACCCAGGTATATTAGATGAATTCCAAGTCATAAAATATTACTAGAGAAGAAGCACTGGGAAAACTCAGTTATCGTTCAAATAGTGGCTGATCTAGAAGACGGTTTAGGGTAACAGTCTGTCCTACCAGTGGACATGTCACATTTTACTAGCATGGATTGCATCTGACAGTGCAGGAACAATTATATATACCTTCAAAAATCGGTGTTCTGGTTAGTTGTGAAAACTATGTCTACAAATCACCAGTTTACATGACATACCTCAAGGGGTATCAGATATTGAAGAACAAGAGTATTTCACCAATATCATTTATGTATCAGGTGAGATCAAGTAAGTATCTATGGGACAGTTAGACCCCCACATAATTGTTTCATTTGACATTTAAAATGATAGGGAGTAATACTCTAAGTAATAGGTAAAAAACTGACCCTTGTATCCTTGTATTTTTCTAGTGAAATCCAACCATATCTTTTCTTAACTATAATAAATGCTTTATCTCCTGATGTTGTTGTAATGATGAAAACAGGCAATATATATGAAACACCTGGGGCACTATTAGTGCTAAATAAATGTTTGCTGTTATAAGCAACTGATGTCATTTAAAAATAACTTACTAAGGTAATCAAAATCTTTATTTCTCAAAGGAACATTGCAAACCAGTCAACAGTTAAATGAAATCTAATCACAAAATCAAAGGGCTCAGAGTTTGAAGGGACCTCAAAAATTTCTTGTGAAATTTCCTACCTGACTTTGAGTATTAAAGTATATTCATCTAGTTGGATCCAAGGAGCCTGGCGCATTGCTAAGGCTTCTCCACGAGTTAGTGGAAGAACAAGGAGTAGCAGAATGTCAGGCTTCTAACATTACTGATACTGCAATTCTCTTTTTCAAAATGCATTTTAATTATTAACAGTAAATATGAAGATGAAATTCTTTTAATTGTCCTTCCATAAAATAAACTTTAAAAGATTTACATTATATTTCTACCTTTCAGTAAATGGCAGCTCAAACATGTACAATAATAATCATGGAAAAGCAGTAGGACATGAGAACCTAAAAATTTTTATACCAGGCAGGAATAGAGGGGGCTTCTGATTCTTTCCTTGGGTCACACTATTTCCCTACCTTGATTGCAGGTTTTCCCAGCATATCCAGGATGACACTTGCACTTGTTTGGTCCAATACATTCACCATGTTTGCACTGTGGTTGGCACACAGCTGTGACAAGAGAATATCATGCATTATTTCTAGATCTGCAGAACATCAACCATATAGTATCTACGTCATGAACTAGCTTAATAATTTTTTTAAAAAACCTAAGAACTTATAAAAGAGTAGCAGAAATAGACAAAGCACTGTTCCTGGAGGAGTAAACTACACACTCTAGACTACACACTCACACACATGTATTGTGATCGTGTGTACATTTGTGTATCACTTCGGGCTGGAACGTTTGCTAAACTAGAGGACAGTACTCTAATAGTCAGAAAAATATGTAAAGCTATGCATAAATACAGCTGATATTTGTCAGCAGTTATAGCTTGACAATAACCTGTACTCATAATTTCAAACTCATTCCCTCAAATACACTTCAAGAAGTTGTTCTTAATCCAAAGATGAAGAACCGTAAATAATTTGTTTTAACTCTAGAGAAACTTCCAATTAAGTAATAAAATACTATTTTATTGGGAATGGTATTTTTAAGTATAAACTGATTCAAAACAAAATAAACACTAACACTCAGTATTTTTGGAATTTCAACTTAAGAATACCTCTATTGTCTTGATCTTTCTTAACCTTAGGGGTATAGCAATTGCTCATCAATGTATAATGGCTTTTCTATGGCCTACCACAGCAAAATAAAAAGATACATTTACTATCTTTAATCAACTCAGTTTGTCTTTCCTCAAGACCCCAAATGCTATAAAATCATCACTCAAAGCTTTTGTGATCTTTGATTCTTGCCAAGATACTGCTTAGAATTTTTGCTGTTTACATTAGTGGTTCTCAACTGGGGTGATGGTGATTTTTGCCCCCTATGGGACATCTGGTATAAATGCAGACATTTTGGTTGTCACACTGGCGAGAAGGTGCTACTGGCATTGAGTTAGATAGCCTACAGGAATACTACTACACATCTAATAATGCTCAGATAGTCTCCCTACTCCCCCCAAAATTATCCAGGCCAAATCTGTGATGCTGCCAGATTGAGAAACCTTGCTCTGTTCAAAATGTGTGCATAGTGTTACACCAGATACTAAAATAGACGAAAAACCATTGTATAGTGTGGTCACTGGTGTCAAAGGGGTTACAGTCTAGACGAAGAGACAAAACAGGCATCTTTTTAATTCAAGGCAACATTTATTTACAAATGAAATAAGTGGCATATAAGAAATTTCTGAAGAAATCATCACACAAGCATATCCATATAGATTTTTATAGAAGGCCTCACAGAAGAGAATTTAGTTGGATCTTGAAGCATGGGTAGACAAAAAAGGGAGAAGACTATCCAAAGTAGGGGGGGCATTTATTCAAGGGACACTGGGAGGCTTGTAAAGTTAATAAAAGGCGAGGAGGGTAAATGCTGGTAGGAGCGTGAGGAGTAAACAAACACAGGTGAGAGGCATCAGATGATGATGTTCCCTTGATTTCAGACTGAGGAATATACACTTTACCTATAGGAAATGGAAATTGGATCACCGTCAGTAGAATTAACTGATACAAATCAATACTCTGGCATTATTAGCCTGATAACAATAGGTACAAAGGATTGGAAAGAGTCTAGTTGACATGAAGAAGGCATGATTTGTTTTTGCAACAGGAAGAGATGGGCTTCAGCAGCCACGGAGTGACGAGCTGACACACCTTGAAGACCAAAGGGAATGGGGTCAGTAGTGACTCTGAGTTCCCAAGTCCCTGACACCTGATCCTTTCTATATCCTGGGATATGCTCCCAGTTTCTGACGATTCTCAAATATTCCTGTGAAACGGACATGCCTGTTATTTTTAGTGTTGCCTACATTTCCTCACTCAACTCTCACTAAGCCTTCCCTCGCCTGCACTCCAAAGGCTCATTTGCCAATTTTACTTCCAGGCCTCTCCTGCCTATTTGTCACTCCAGCTGGACCCTGCAACTCCTAGTCCTTCTCCACTGCCGCTCGGACGGTCTTTAACTTAAAAGCTTACAGAAATAAAGGATGCGAAGAGTAGAAAGTATAAGCAGTAGAGAAATGTGCTTGGAAAATTCTTAAAATCTGATTTTCAACATGTCATGAAATTCAAAGAGAAGCAATTTTTTCAGAACTGTAAGAAATAATCTATCTAGGAGTTCCATCCAATATAATTTTTCAGTCAACTGTAAATCTTGTAAGATGGTTCAGATGCAGTTTTTAACACAAGTCCCAGAAATAAGCCATTTTTATTGTAATTTCCTGGTCCTATGACCCAGAAATGCAAGTTAAAAAGAATTTTTTAAACTTAAAAAAGATGTTCCATAAATCTTAACAACTATATATAAATACAACCGGAATAAATCAAGTATCACTGAAACACCCAGGCTGCCATTTAAAAAAAAAAAAAAAAAAAATAAGGAAACATCTCAAAATCAGGAAATGTAAGTCAAGGAAATCACCTCCCAAAAGAAAGAGAATTTGAAAATATTTCTAAAAACATGAAAAAGCAGTTTAGAATGCACCAGTTAAAAACATGAAGGAGTTTATTTGGGAGAGGACACTTTATGAAATAATGCAACCTGAGGCCCCCCCGCCAGACTGCCTTTTGACCCCCTGACGAGCTTGAGGGCTATCCATTGACAGTGCTTCCAGGCACTTTGTAGAAAGTTTTTATTGTCCTCCTCCCTTTCTCGTTGTTTGTTCTCAGTGGAGTACTCTAATCTTGGGCACATCAAATGCACACATTCCAAGAGGCCAAAGGCTGTTAATGTTTCTGACATGTTTAGAGAATCAGTATTTTCAAACTGCTGTTTGCCCATCTGCCCAACATCTATTTACTGAAGTAACCAGCAACCCATTTACTAGTCAACAGCTATTAAGTGGGATAGGATACTCATAATGTTGACATAGGCAGCTTTTTTCTCTTACAAAAGAAGAGCTCTTAAATGTGTTGTACAAAAGTACTATCTCCTATTATCTTGGTGGTATTAGGTATGCAATGAAAAACAATAAATATGCATTGAACATTTGTTATATCTAATGTATTCTACCAGCCAGTGTGAGCAAAATAGAGTCACAGAGGATATCAAAAATTAACTATATATATATAGGCTAAAACTTAATAAGAGTTGTGATAGAGAGATGAGATTGGAGGTGGGCGAGGGGCAGATAACACAACTGACTATAGGTTAGGAGATGTGATCTGAGCAATACTTCAGACGTAAGAGGCAGAGACACTGGGAAGGGAAACAAAGTCTTTGAGAACAGAAGCAAAATAAGGGGGAAGGACAATAAAGCAGGTTCCCAGTGAGTGCTAAGGGTTCTAGTGAAGCTGCAATGTGAAGTGCTTATAACAGCAGATGAGATCAAAAGACAGGCTAGGAAGTTCATAAAAGAAAGAAACTGCTGCGGCCTTACCAATTTCTATTTTTCCCCGCTTCTTTAAAAGAGAATGTCTCTCTGTCTGTCTCTTTTTGCATGGGGAGTGAGTTAGCAGTGGAAACTACTAACTACAGAGAGAATTCCTTATTCTCTCTGGCAGATGTGGGTAGCCAAGTGACTAAATTCTGGCCAATCGTATGTGAACAGAAGTTATTGGGTGGGATACTTGCTATGCTACTTAAAAAGGTCCTGACTAGGATGCTTCCTCTGTCTTCCCGCCTGGAATATATAAATCATGGTACACTACAGAAGCCGCTCTGTGAGCATGAGGTAACCTTAAGAATGAAAAAAGAGCAGAGCAAGAAATCATAATATTAACTTTAAATAGTCATCCTAGCAATTTGGGGCATTGTGCTTTGTGTCACTGTTACAGCCAAATACAATTCCTAACAGACTATCCTTGAGCACAAGGCTGCGGAATCTAAACTTAAATGCATGTTCATTATCAAGCCAGCAAATATTTATTCTGGACACAATCTTAGCATAGAAATGTTATTAGCAAACCCAAGTAAAGAAATACAACTTGTCAAATTTATTTTATATTTATAATGCCATAAAATTGTAGAAGTGTCTAAAAATCTTCATTTCTATACCTAAAGAATTAGATTAGAAAATACATATATGTCCATATTGATACTAGAGAAAAATGACTCCTGATTCTTGTGTAAACTGGCCCAGCTTTGATAAACTACCATATTTTGCCACATATAGTGCATTCCCATGTATAATGTGCACCCACGTTTTTGGCCCAAACTTTCAGGAAAACAAAAACCCTTTCATTTTAATGTTTTAACTCAATTTTTTATTTATTTATATTTAGAAACAAAACCAATCATCATATTCCAGGGTATTATTTTGCATATAGATATCACTTTTAACATATAAGCATAAACATGTATATACATATGGAATTAGTACTGTCCATGTATAATGCACATCCTTATTTTTCCCTCAAAAATTTGGGCAAAAAAGTGAGCATTATACATGGAAAAACATGGTACTCCACTGTAATGTGAGCTCTCGATAGGGAGTCAGCACACACCAACCTTACAACCTGCTGTGACTAGCAAGCCAGGAAAAAAAAAGAGTAAGTGGTCCCTTCTAGTGGTCTGTTTTAGAGTGTTCTTCTAAAAACATCAAAAATAGATTTGGAGGAAATAATGTATCTGTTGTTGCTACACATTAATCAGAAAATGCAGCATTGCTTCTCTGACATGCACATTGGCCAGGGACAAGAATTCAGGGCCGTATTGGATGGTCCACTGTCATCAGGCATCCACTTATGGTTTAGCAGATCAGTAAATTAAAGTCAGGTGAGGACCACAGATAGTCAATGAATAACAGATTTTCTTACCCTAAAACTGAATGTCAGAATTAAGCTGAAATAGACAAATCACAGTAAAAATTTACTAACATTCCTCCAGCATGATCTCCAAAGTGCCCTTACTATAACCTCTAAGTTGTTACTTTAACTATAAAAAGAAACAAGTCTCAACTGGCAAAACAAACAGAGCTCCTTAAAGTCACATGTCTGAGCCTCTTCTGTTTGCAATCTAATAAACTTTTACTCTTAAAAATCATCCTAGTAAATATAACTGAGGTTCT